CCGGAAAATCGCGGAATATGCACGAGTATCAACGAGCATGTTGGAGTATGCGATTCGGCGCAAAGTGATAGCGAGCATTGTGATCTGTCAAGATTGCGAAACTGTCAAGTTGCGGTGGCGAATTTCTCCTACAAAAATAACATGAACGACCAGAACGATTGAGAAAGACGTAGATTCGAGCTGCGATTACTGCGAGCAGCACTAGAGTATGACTAGAGAAGTCGACGATGCACGAGTCGCATACGCGAGTCGGATCATTACGTGATGCTCGCAAGTTCGCGAGAGACGTGTGCACTTTGCACGAACACGACGTTCGCAGAACAATTTTGTCGTACGAACTATAGTGCAACTGAAAGACACTTCGTACTCCGATGAAGAAGCAGTGAGCAGACAGATCGTCGTGCACGAACTCGATTGAAAGAGAGAGATTTGCGATGTCGATGGCCTTTTAAAGACATGCCGCTTCTCATGAAGTACTTCACAACAATTCTATGTCAGAATATTCATTTGATTATCAATTGCATTATTAATCATCACTATAAAAGTAATTTTAAGAATAACATTGTGAATTATATTGTTTTTGGATTCGCTTTTTTCCGCTACGATTGAGCACTTAAAATTTTCTAATAATAATTCTTCTTTTTGAAGAAAACTTCTCTTTTCCAAGAAGATATGTCACTAACAGATATCAGTGGAACATTAAAGCAGTATTTTTTTGTCAATTAATTATTAATATCTGCAATCTATATTTTATATGAGATAATTTCTGCTAACATTATTTAGCATGGACAATATTTGGAAAAGCACAAGATTTAAATATATCTTTGCTTGCATCTTGATCACGTTCGTCACATCATGTATAATTAGCATATCTCCCATCAGTATCGGTTAGTTATTGACATATTGAAAAATATATCACAATATATTGTGATAAAATGGTTTTTTTAACTATGATTTTATTATTTCAGATGAGTGCAAGTGTGAAGCAAATGCTCAACCAAATAAACATCTCAAGCAAATAACTGATGAGATCAATGGACGTAAAAAGAAAGCTGAACATCAATTGGCCATACTAGTGCCATTTAGGGATCGCTTTGAAGAATTATTAATATTCGTACCATATATGCAAAAATTCCTAGACAAACAAAATATAGATTATCATATATTTATATTAAATCAGGTATTGTAGTTCTAAAATCTTGTTAGTAATTAGAATACTACTTGAATATATATCTCATATTTATTTTTTTTTCCAGGTGGACAGATATAGATTCAATCGAGCGTCCCTTATAAACGTAGGCTTTCTCGAAACAGAGAAAGCGTTTGATTATATTGCAATGCACGATGTAGATTTATTGCCTATGAATGATCAGTTATCGTATGCATATCCAAGTACAGGACCTCATCATATATCGTCACCAAACTTACATCCCCGATATCATTATTTTACCTTTATTGGTGGTATATTACTTATTAAAAGGTTTGTTTAAAATTGTAATAATAAACAGTGATATAAGTTATATTTAGATCACTAGATAAATAAATAAAATAAATAAAGAAGTGCCAAATACAGTTGAAGCTGGAGCTTAGTAATAATAATAATAAATGTGAAATTAAATCACAAAGAGATAATACATTATTTATTATTGTTGAATATGCATTTTTGCAGGGAACATTTTATACAAGTAAATGGGATGTCCAACAAATATTGGGGATGGGGTCTCGAAGATGATGAGTTTTATGTTAGATTGAAAGAGGCTGGCTTGAGCGTCAGTCGTCCACAGAATATATCAACAGGAACGCATAATACATTTAGGTGAGATTCATTTTATGAAATTTTGTTAATTTCTGTAAGATATTATATTCGTCATAAGATATTAAATAAAACTAGATATAAGTTAACACTTATCGTTGTATGCAACACTACTTTAAGTGTTAATATGAAATATGTATTACAGGCATATACACGATAGAAATCATAGAAAGAGAGATATGACGAAGTGTTATAATCAGCGAGAGATTACTAGGAAAAGAGACCGACAAACTGGCTTGAATAATGTCTCATATAAAATATTGGATACAATGAAGATGACTATATCAGATACTTCCCTAACAGTTATTAATATCTCTCTTCTGTGCGACAAATCAAGCACACCTTGGTGTGAATGTGAAAAACTAGTCGGATCGAAGGATCAAGGGAAATCGAAAGAGAAAAAGAAAACTAATAATAATAAACTCGCAACTGGATTGTAATTATAATCTTACAATTAGTAATTTAATTGTTGAAGGTGTTATAAATGTACTCAAAAACAATCTTCACATTCTTCCATTTTTTTATGTACTCGACTTAGATAAAAATAAAATAGTTCCTTACAATTTGTTCTCATACATTGTTTATATAGAAAATTCTATTTATAAATTATTTATATATATATAT